GTTACTATTTGATGTTGAAGGTATGTTATAAAAGCCAACACTTAGGGAATTACTAGTAGCAATAATATGTTGATCTAAAAATAAGATGAATTGAATAGATATATTTTTTTATATTATATACATATATCCATGTAATTAAATCATAACACTAACCATTTATTTCAAAAATTGAAGGAATAGCATTTTTTTAGCCTAGGCTTAGTAGCAGACAGTGGAATCACTATCAGATGAAGAAAATGAAACATTATTATCTGTTGAACTTGAACTAAAAGAAAAAAATTAATTTAATATTATTTTATTACCAAACAAATTAGAATAAACAGTGGTAGGGATTAACAGTTATTATAATTATTCAAAGAATGTAATACCAGACAGTTACACAGTTACCTCTGTTTAATACTAGCATAACTATTACAACTACCAAAATAACTCCTTATAAAATCATCATTAGTAAAGTGGAGTTAACACAAATATTTGACAGTAGTTTGTTTGTGATAAACTTTTAGACCATATTTCAGAAGTATGTTTATTTTTCGGAGCTTGAAATATCGAGTATTTTTAATGTGCTTTCGACTTTTACACAGTAGCACAGAACAGTCGTTAACCATTTTTAAATTTTTTTCGAAGGTAATAACGATATACAAAATTTAAAACAGTATGCTTAAAGCATGTACAGTATAGAATGCTATTATAATGTGTTAAAATAAACATATTTATGTTTTATTTTTGAAATAATATGTATTTGTAGCATGCAAATTGTGTTTTAATTAGATTGCCAAGTTATTCTCATAGATTGCGCCAGATCCACTTAAAGGAGCGGCGTAACATTTACTGACCGTACCCCTCATACCCGCCCACCCAACAGTGTCCAGTCCTGTATATCTTAGTTCATGCCTACCACTGAAATATTTGAAAATTCATATTACCTATAATAATATACATGGTTTAAACTTTAAATTAATAATATTGTTGTAATAGCTTATAAATAGATCATATCATGATCTATACTAATATACAAATGAGAACAATTGTTTGTTCTGGGTAATCTCTGAAACTAGGTAGGTAAGTTAGCCGGTTAGTTACCGGGCAAGACCCCGTTCGCCTAAAAATGACCCTTCGCTTTTTGCCCACGTCTCTTTTTGCCCAAATATATTAAAACTACTTTCCCTTTTCGCCCAAGAATATATTTTAATAGCACTTTCCGACCAAATTTTTATAGTACACACTTTGGGAAACACTTACTTGAAATTATTTATATCTAACTATCTTAGTATCCAACATAATAATAAATTTGTCATATTTAAATTTATATATTTGTGTTAATTAGTTTTATAAAGCTATTTATACCCAGAGGGTACCACGAGGAGGCGACTTCTCTTACTCTCCAAAAATGTATTGTGTTTTTGTACATTAATATAATTTTTAAATATGCGTCAAGATTTTTTAATCAAATGTTAGCTTTACATGGATTTAAAAATGGACATTATATTCCGTTAGTATTTTGTTTGCACATTGATAAATCGGTAAAAACTTATGAATTTGTGTTTACTATGATTGTTGAAAAGTGTAATACACTTGGTTTCTTATTCTCACCAAAAAACATTACCGTTGATTTCAAATTAGCAATTCATAAAGCTATTGAAAATGTCTGGCCAAATACAACAATAATTGGATGCCGATTTCATTCAACCCAATCATGGTGGAGAAATATTCAAAAGTGTGTTTAACTTCTTTCTATAAAGACGAATCTTCAGAAATTGGTAAGTGGATACGGTACACATTTATATAAAATCTATTATTTAATAATATTCTATAAAACTAATTAACACAAATAAATAATTTAAATATAACAAATTTATAATATATTATAAATAATTAAATAATTTCAAGTAAGTGTTTCCCAAAGTGTGTACTATAAAAATTTGGTCGGAAAGTGCTATTAAATATTCTTGGGCGAAAAGGGAAAGTAGTATTAAAATATTTGGGCAAAAAGAGACGTGGGCAAAAAGCGAAGGGTCATTTTTGGGCGAAAAGAGTACCGCCCTTAGTTACCTTCCTCATTTACCGATTTAAAAAAAATGTTTTACCATCAGAAAGCGACACTACCAGGCGCGGACTGGCTGGGGTGCTGGGATGCTACAGCATCCCTTGCCCTAAAATATATTTGCCCCTATTGGTATAAATGTGCCCACCTAAAATTAATCTAAATTTTGAAGGAGAAGGTTAAAATTCTCTGATAAAATCGTAGGTAGATGTAGATCTATTATTTATGTAAAAACTAATAAGTAATAACTATAACAATCATAAAGAAAAAAGAATACATTTAAAGTAGGTAGCCAATAAGAAAATAGGTAAATTAGTTTGAGCAGCTTTTTATAAACATTAAATATACTTTCTTAATTTATTATTAACACAATCTTTATAAGAGGAACTTAGCTCTAATTGTTATGGGGCGGGGGTTGGGGGGGGGGCAAAAATTAATGACAATATTTACGGACCCTTAAGTTTGCCGTTGCTTAACCTTGCCTTGCTGTTGTAATTTGGCACCTGTTTACATTTTTAACGTATTTACAATATTTTATTAAAACAAAAGAAAATGTTTAAATATTTTATAAATAACCTATTGTTTAAAATTTGTTTTATTTGCCTTTTAAATTATGTAGCATCCCACGCCCTTTTTTACCAGTCCACGCCTGGACACTACCGTAATGATCTATAGGCTATATTTAATCTCGATAAGTGGGCCTTAATTTTAGATTCTGAGCCGAGCGATGAATGTATTGGTTTTACAATGATGTGTTGTTTTTTTTTTTATTTATTTTTGTGTCTGACATTACGTTTTGGGACAATAAAAGTGCTTCGATTTTCTTCAAGGCATATTTTCTAGTAAGAAAGTGAATCTAGTTAGTAGTTAGTACTTTTGATGATCAAAAGTAAAAAAATCCCTATAGTTTTCAATAGCGGCTGGAAAAACAAATAAAACATTAAAGAAAAGTGAATTTTTACGGTAACCCGGTTTTCGACAAAATAGATTTTGGTTTTTGATGTAACTCTAAAAAAATATAGTATATAAATGAAATTTTCACTGAATTTTTATATCCGCGTTTTCTATACACCGTAAAATTTTCAAAATATTTTGACTCGTGTTGAACTATTTATAGGCATACGACATTTTCGATGATTATTTGTTTTTTTCAAACTAATGTCGATAAAAAATTGTTCCTAACCTAACCGAAAGTGTGTTATATGTATCATCTCATCTTCTTACCAACTAGACAGACGTGACATGACGTTACCCACGATCCGTGCAAGATAATCTTATCTAAAAACTGAAATACACAATTATGAGCTAGGACTATTTAGTATAAACTATAAAGTCTAATAATATTAGGTACATTATTATTTATAACCTACATGGCTACATCATACAGCATGTCTGCACAATCATTAAATATTTGTCTTTTTGGTCTTTATAGATTTAGATACCGTTAGTGGTTTTAACTTCTAAGTAATAAAAACAAAGTCTTGATATTCTTATTCCTTAGGTTTTGTGTCAAATAGGTAAAAGAATTGGTTGCAACAAACCAGATTTGTAACTGTCTAAAAGATGATATGAGGCACAAGTAATAAGTATGTTAATATACATTTTACTTAGGTCCCGTGTACAATTGCTGAATATTGATATTTTTGGTACCTTATGTATTTGTAGTAGGTACCAAAATATGGCGATAAAATTGATTCTTGATATGATTTTAATTAAAGTTTTGAGAACGGCTAATAGATTTGTTATGGTATATGGGAGTAGCCAAGTGAGGACTAATCTTTAAAAAACATAATATCTTCTACTATGAAAAACCCTGTCAAGCTCAAGATCGTCTAGATTTTAAAATTAAACATAATTTGTTACTTTTACCTGGGTAAAAAAACACCATAAGGTATAAAAACCATAAATTAAATGTACAATAAATAATTGTTGAACCGCTATTTATTTGAATTAATATTTTATATTATTTTATACCTAAAATATAGGCATACAGATGTTTCACACATTTTACTGATTTATGTATTAATTGTATTTATTTAGATGTTATAATAAAACGTTCACGGTAGGTACATTTTTATTACTTTCTAGGATTTCAGAAATAAGTAAAATATTTTTATGTTACTGTAATTAGCTCACTAACATTATTTTTGTACTATAAGAATATATTGTGCCAAGTATGTAGAATATTAAACATATATATATATACATTACTTAGTATATGTACGATACATAGACATATACATACTTACATAGACACAATAATCAAAATTAACTAAGTACATAAGTATGAGCCACTCAAGTTCTTCAAAAGATACAGTGTTACAACTAAGTGTGGGCAAATCGAGCAGCAGTCAGAAGACAAATAATAATCTTAAGCGGATTATTATACGACGGGTAAGCATTGAATATTATATATGAACTTTCGAAATTGTAATTCTCATTCCTATTCTTCTTATACAAAAATGGTTTTAGGTAAATCACCTAATATATACCTGCTACGCAACCTTAGTATTATTTGCAAATGATAAAATGAATTTTAAGTTTAATATTTTTTATTATTAAGTTGTAAACTTGTAAGGATGTATTACAGAGTACAGACTGTATAGTTTATTTATTGTACCTTCAACTAGGCAGTTGTAAACCCTCATTGGTCTACTTCAGTGCAGGTGCCTGAAGAGTACATGTAAACTTACTCTCTAAAGCTTGTGATAACTTCGTTTAAACATTATAATATATTTATATAAAATATGATATGAACTTACAAGTTTCAATTCAAATTCATAGAAACTATAGAAAAAATAATAAATTAATTTCTTTAGCTGTGAGCTATATAATATTATAGTCGAGATCAGTGGCGTGCGGTGATATTTTATGTTGGGTAAGCGCTAAAATAAATTTCAAGTTAAAACAAAAAAAGGTATTTTATTGATAAAAAATAAAAATTACAATCTAAAATTTATTTATAGATAAAATCCATTCGTCTTTCTTGTTTTAAAAATTCGTTAATAACTTTATCATAAAATTCTGGATGATTTTTTTCTTTATGCAGGAGTTCCTTTTCGATTGAAATTAATGATAATGAACTAAGTCTTTCTTGCCCTTGTGTAGATCTTTGATACGATTTAATTCGTTTTAATGCCGAAAAAGAACGTTCAACTGAAGCTGTTGTACTGGGAATAGTTAAAATTAGTTGACCGAGTTTAAATACTTCTTGGAACGCCGATATTAAATCATTCATCTTAATTTTTTTGACTAAATCATATGGATTAGTATTTAAAAATTCTTCAGATTTATATAATACAATTAATTCATTTCGTAATCTAATAAAATCAAATATTTCTCCAAAATTTGATTCTTGCAAGTTTTCTAGAGCAGAATTTGGAAATTCGTTCGTGTAGTTTGAATATTTACTTGGGTCAATTAATGATAAAAATTCAAATTTAATTAAAGAACCAAATCGCGCTTGCAAATTTGTCAATATGTTATCAAATATTTCATTAAAAAGTACTTTGTAAAATGTTTTCGGGTCACGAATTTTACGCTGTAGTTCAAAATCGCCTTTATCTGATAAAACTGTTTCCCATAATTTTTCAAATAGATTTAACCTATAATTTTGCAGTTGACATTTAGTTTCTTCAATTTTTTTCACACAGTATAAAATATCTAAACGTTTAGTTTGTAATACTTCATATAAAATATCAGTCAAACTAAATATTTTACTAAATACTATTAGCAAAAAGTATGTTTGTCGACTATCTAAAAAATTGATGAACCCTTGAGATAATACTATCGCTTCATTATCCCAATCATTAGAATTATCTAATACGTGTTGAAAAAACTCTATGAAATATGAATTGTATTCGTGAACTGTATTTACTAAGCGAGAAGAAAAATTCCATCTAGTCGGCGCATTTTTTGGCATTTTTTTTCTTGTAAAATTAGATAAAGCATGTGTACGTTTAGAAGATTTAGTAAAAAATGATCCCATACCAGTTAGTGTTTGAAAAAAAATCTTACAGTCTTTTATATTTGATGCTGATTGTGAAAGTACAAGATTTAATGAATGGCTAAAACAATGGACAAATAATGCTTTTGGGTAGAGCTCCTTTACTTTAACTTGTAGTCCTCCAACATGACCACTCATAACGGCCGCTCCGTCATAAGTTTGAGCTACTAATTTATGTTTTAATTCATACCTATTAACTATATCAATTACGTGTTTCAACAAACCGTCTGCTGATCTATCAGCACTAACATCAACAAATGAGATAAAACGTTCATGTGCTTCCCCGGTTTCATGATGGACATACCTTAAAGTTGTTGATAATTGAGACAGATTTGTTATGTCTGAAGTTTCATCTAATAATATTGCAACAAAATTAGTATTTTTTATTTCTGATTCAATGGACGTTGATATGATGTTGCTAACTGAGCAAATAAGATCATTTTGAATTCTATTGGATGTACCACGGAATATTTTTGATGTTTCTAAATGCACGTTTAAAATAGAATCATAAGATGATAATAAATTTAAACAACCGAGGAAATTTCCCTGATTGAAAGAATTAACTCTTTCATTGTGACCACGAAATGGTAATTCGTGAATCGCCAAAAAACAAACACAATCAATAAAACGTTTTAAAACGTCTCTATTTTTTTTTACCAATTCATTATGGCGTATTACATCTGAACGTCTTTGTTCATCAAGCTGCAAATCAATTCTAGATTTTCCAAACATTTTTAATTTTAAAACAGAAGAAATATGTGTTTGAGATCGTTCATGTTTTTGAATACCATTTGTTAAATTATTTAAATTAACAAAACCACTATGAGACCAAACATTTTTTTCCCTGGTAAATAAAACACAAGGCCAACAGAAAAGTTTATTTAATTTTGCACTACCAGTCAACCATGGAGTATTTAAATAATTAGAAATATTAAAATGACGAATGTAAACTTTGTTTTTTTCTTTGTGATTAGATGTCAATTTTGGAATTTCTGGACATGGTCGACCATTTTTTACAATTGTTAATTTTTCATCAACATTTTTTAAATGAAATTCATTTTCCAAAAGATGCTCGATTAAGCAATTGTTTGAATCAGTATTCATTGTCTATAAAAACAAATATAAACAAGGCGAATATAATTTGATTCCTCTTAATTATAATAATTTTATTTATTTAAATAATAATTATCTATACCAATTCTATAAAATTATGCAATAGGAATTTAATATACTTACATTAAAAATGTTTGTTCAACACCAAATTAACTATGAAGACTTGTAGACACGTTGACGGTTGACGACAAAATAATATATTTATTATTAGTATAGTATAGACAGTATAGTTAAAACTTATAATAAGTATATTGATAACAAAAATAATCCGATATGCATCGTAAGAATATTGGAATTCCGACAATTCCGTTTTTAAAAATATCGATAAGCGCTCGGCATAGCGCTTTCAACCATTACGTAAAAACGCGTATATCCCCTTCTACCACAACTGGTCATTCCTATAAATAACGATATGGGAAAGGCAATCTAAAATACTAGCGCTTCTGTAGAGAAATTGCCTATACGAAAAAAAAAAATTTAATTTCTTTCAAAATCTGATAATTTTTTTTTAAATTGAATACAAAAATAAGAATTATTAAATATTTGTAATTTTAATGTAAACAAATTGTTATTTAACATCAGAAATATTAATCTTTTAATTTTTTCCTTTTTGGCTGGGCATGCGCCGCTTACCTAGCTTGTCCTGACCGCACGCCACTGGTCGAGATACTAAAAAAATAAAAAATCATTAGGCGGATAATCAAATTATTTTTATAATAATATGAACATACGCATTTGTATTTAAATTTTAAATTTTATAGTACGTAATAAAAATATATAATATTATTCCTTTAGGTAAACATAATGTTGACGGGAGACTTTACCTATATTGAGAGAGTTTACCACAGCCCATTATATTTTATTTTAGTAATGATATAAATAATACCATGGATCAAATTAATTTAAGATAGTATTATACATAGGTATATTTTGTTTACATGTAACGGGATGGTCGAGTGTTACTGCTGCAGGGTAGGTGCTCCCCTCACGCGTTCACTGTCAACTTTTATATTTCCGCTCACATGCTCATTGTAACTATCATTACACTATTACAGATTGCATATACAGTGGATTCCGCTTAATGTGGGCACGTTGGGACCAGCCCTGTTTGCCCACATTAAGCGGTTGCCCATATAAACCGAATTAACATTGTTAATATACATTTGTATTGGGACCAGCTCTGTTTGCCCACAATAGGCGGATGCTATAGAGTTGGCATTTTATTATTTTAAACGGTAAACGAAGTTGTACTAAGTAAAATTAGGTATTACTATTTAGTTATATAGGTACACCAAACAGCAATCTTCAAAAATACAATTGAATAGCAAATACAAGAACAATTTAACAGTAGTAAATAATTAACATACTTGCATTGTAAATAGTAATACAGTTAATTTAAGAGAACACAATTAAATTCTGGCGATGCTGTATTGCTGCATTATAGATATTTGAAAATCTATCAGGAAACCATTAGGTAATACATATTTGTTTTTTTGCAAGTTCAAAGGATTATGGAACTTATCAATTCAAAAGAAAATCATTTATTTCTTGATCATTATGATTTGTTGTTGGTTTTTATACTCAACTTATTATGATCGAGTGATACAACACAAAGACAACGCTGATGAAGAGTTGGACATGGACTTGGACTTTCATGACTCGCCAGAATTAAACAAGTCGCCTTACCACCAAGAGAACCCAAAAACCAAGATGAGGATGTAAGGAAAGCGTAACAGAAAAATTAATGAAAATACAAGTCTTCTTAAACTAGTTTAGTGGCCTCTAGTCTACAACATGTGCTACCTATTATTTAACAAATTATGAAGTAGAATGTAGATTATATTATTGATATGTATTTAATATTTTTAATTACTAAGTACTAGTAATTGGATATAAGTTATAATTTTATTTTTACAAGTAATATACAAATATTGAAATATACAATCTATGCTTAGTAGTACAGTAAGTAGATATATTGGTAAGATACATAATTGTATACAGTGCCGGATAGGCAAGGTATCAGCCCACCGAGTTTTACGATTTTAACCGGCCCTAAAAAAGTTAACGGCCCATTTTTCAATAAGATAAAGTCATTAATAGGTATCCATATTTTAATAATAACATCATATATCATACAATATAAATTATATATATTATATTAAGCAGTAATGTTGACATAGATTAATAATAAATATAACAACTAAGCCGGCCCACCGAGTTCAACTCGGTAACTTGCCGGCTCTATCCGGGCCTGATTGTATACATAATGAAAACAAAACAAACAAATTATTAAAATATATATAATATATATAAGTTGACAATGTTGACTGTTAAGAAGAGAAGCCTTATTGGATGAGGTTAGAATATTTTTCAGTCTGTTATTGATTGTTTATTGTACCTAAGTACCTAACTTTCTAAAATGATTGCTATCTTTTATTACTGTTATAACATAGATATTATTTATTCAATAATTAATATTTAATACCAATAGAACTTACCCAAGATTCGAGAGTAAAACTTCACCAATAACAATAACAATATTCAATGTTCTCTTTTAACACTAATTTGGTTTTTATTTATATGTATTAATATATTCATAACATAAATATCTATTCAATGAATAGATAATATGTGTATTTAAAATTAAACATATTTTATTCATAAAAATTTAAAACATCAAGTCACATAATCTAAGGTAGATGATAACAGTTTAAATCATTATTGACAATAATCCAATAAGAAAGCAAAAATGATTGTAGAAAAAAAATGTAGAATATTTATTTATTGGTAGGTATTTACTCATTATTTTATTGAATAGAATAAAAAATAAACAATATAATACATACACAATGATTGATAATAATATATATTATATAACTAATATAAAGTTAAAAATATCGTCAAAATGGATTTAAGTGTAAACCATTTATCACACGGGTTCTTAAATTTATTTCATCCTCCGCCCACTATGAGAATGAATTTTTTCTAAAGCCACCAAAATTTTAAAGCATTAATTATTTGAATTATTATATTTAAACATGTTATAATATACTTATCTTATATACATCCTATATTTTACATGAGTTCAAACTTCCGAAAAAAGACCTAAAATAGAATAAATTCTAAAATCAATGATATTATACACATGTAGCCTATGAAAGGCGTAACATTAATGATGTATCAGGTATTTTATTTTAAAATACCAGGAGTTAGAGTTCGTAATTGTTTCCTTGTTTTAATCAACTATCACTCTGCAGATCAGTGGTGACAAATTACAGTCCGTAATAATATATTAACCGGCAAAATATTAAAAGTAAATTGAAATTGGAAAAAAGTTACTAAAAATGTAAGATTTGTAGAATTAAATATAAATGAATATTTCCCATTTCTTACTATCTAAATAATAATCTAAAAATGTATCATTGTACCTTTATTAAGATGTGTCAACAGTAAAATATAATATTCAATTTAAGGTAAATGTTTAAATTCTTTGCCCGCTAAGATCACCTGAACGCCCCTAAAATATTTATAATTTTCTTTACGTTAATTAATTGCTACTACTAAACAAAAATAATTGAATAAATATTTATTTTTCTTATTGGTATACTATTACTCCATAATATAGTAGGTAATATAGTTCATATAAAAGAGAATACCTAAACAAAAATAATATAAAAGGTACAAATGAGCACACACATATATTTCAATACTTATTCAAGCTATAATTTTAGTGTATATTCATATTATTTATGTCAACTACTCATTAAATATAAAATATTTTCAAAGTTAATTTTTGTCAGGAGTTTCAACCTTTGAGTTTAATATTATCATTATAATATTTGATACATAATGGTGTTTATAATTTTAAATTATTGTTCATAACAATTTCAGTTACATAGGTATTGAATCAATGTTTCGAAATTTAACTTTGGCAATCCAATCAAATAAAGCCAAATAAAGCTGTAATTATATACACCACTTAAATAAATGGATGGAAGTTCAATCATTTAAACATTTATAATAATATCTGTTGACTGTAGTTAATTATTTATCATTTATGTAACCCACAGTGCTGCTGCATTCAAACATTATTACAACTGACCACAATAGCTGTCATATAATTTAAAGTCGTTTTAAAAATGACTAGTGAATTAAAAATTTTGAAATATTACACAATAGTATTATATATTTTAAATTTCATTTTATTGATACAAAGCAATAATACAACTAATATTAAAAATAAAAATAAAAGAAGAGATTCTTGAATTTATACCACTAACTTAAAAAATAGAAATTATAATGATAAACTCTAAAAAAAATATACAGAACATAAAAGTGTATAAAGTTAAACATTATACAAAAAAAAAAAATACCTTTATATGTACACAATTTTAAGGTAGGCTTTATTTGGACACTCAACAATATTATCACATTTCGGTCCAAATTGTTTACAAAATTGATTGACAATAGTATTAACACATTTTAAACCACATGTGCACGAAGTACTCGCATAAATATTAAAATATTATCTGAGTACAAATATGTTTTATACTATTATATATTATTAAGGTATATTAAATAAAAAGAGCATACAGAATACACAATATCAGAATTAACAGGGACAAGTATTATGTACTATAGGTTATGGATTGTTGCTCAATAGTTATAACATTCTTTATTTAATCTCCACAAGTAGGAGCAAAATTAAATTAAGTAATGATTTGTATCATGCTAAGACTCTTTATATACATGGTAGACACTGTGTTTTATACACACAAACAGGAAGATATGATGATCCTCAAAGTATATTAAAATATAATAAAGTACAAAAAAAAAATGGCACAATTGTTAGTTTCAGATATATTGTACTTCTTAGGAGCAAAAAGTTTTGAAATGATAATAATGAATAACCAAAAAGAATCATGTAAGTAATATCAAATTATCAATAATTGTTGAAAATAATTAGTTATTCCTATTGGAAATAACAAAAACAAATCCTCAGAATGGAACTTTAACACAATATTACTAGTAGTTATAGTAATCAAAAAATTACATTTTTAAAAATATAATTTTCATTTTTATACAATGTATTACATAGATTAATTAATTAATTCCTTTAAAAATCACGGATTCAATAGAACTTTGAAATGTGACTAAGCAGCGTAATTTGCTGTATTTTTAATTTAATAATTGTATTGTAATGTATAATTATAGTTACTCAATTATAACTAACAATAATAAACTGTAAGGGATGGAATAGCTTCCTTACATTATTGAACATTCGCAGCATTGCATGGTAAAGTATAAACATTCCATGCCACAACTAGTTCTGTCAATATCGTCATCATCTGGGTGTTCCTTAACAATACCATTTGAAGGTTTGCCTCCAGCACCACCAGATTTTCCATCACCATTGCTCATATTGACAGGTCCATCAGAATCGTCCTTGGCAATCATTGGCTGATGAAACTCAGCAAGTTCAATTACTGATTCCTCACTGTCGCGTTTTGCAGAATCTGCACTATTCAGACTATCGACTGAAGAATTGTCACCACCATTGGTCATCAATGTTTGATTTGTAACGCTAATGTTGGCCTTTCGGAACTGTAAAAGAAGCATATTACGATCATAATATATCAATCAAATTGTATCCTTCAAGTCAATCATTAATTGGATCAGAACAGAAGTTTAGTTACCCCATTTTTAAATTAATACACATGAACAATATCAGTTAGTTTTTCGTGTTTTCAATTACTAAATACATTTTTTTATTTACTTATTAATTGCACGTAAATTTAAAATACATTTGTAATCCTAATAGATAATGTTATCTAATGGCTAATAGTTTTTTTTTAATCTGGTGTATTAATATTTTTAAATTGCTCTTTCTTAAGATTCTTAAGAAAATTAGAATTTTTTTTTTCGGTGATATTTTTTATAACAATGATAAATTATAATAAATTAAATTAAAATAATAATTATCATACTGACCAGTTCGTTGTTAGTCGGACCATTGCTGGTGGTCGGGGCTTCTGTGATCGCGTCAGCGGGGCTGTCCGTGTTTGCCTGCGTACCTCGGTCCATGGTCTGCGGCCGGTTGTTGACGTTTTCCAAGATCAAACGACCTGGCCGTGGATTCTGCCTGGAATGGAGCACAGACGCTATGAATGGATCCGACGGTGGCTGAACGTTATGATGGAGTTGAGACACTGCTGCGGCAGCGACGGCGGCGGCGGTGATGGCTGTGTTCGTAGAGGTGGTGGAGAACGATGGCGACGACGACGACGACGACCTTTTCTCCGACTCGATCAACCTGTAAACGCAAATCCATTTAGAACAATTAAAGATAATCCTGGCGGTGGTTGACTACGCAAAAATCGTACTTCAACGTCATAATATTATTATTTCTATTATTATTATTGTGCTTTTCGTTGTGATCTTTCCACAACAGATAGATCAACAGGTGCAAACATACGAGTTGCAAATCCAACGGAAACGGTACGTCTTCCATGGTATTATTACAAAATTACGTTCAATTACAATAATTTATAACGATATGTTACCAGGGGTCTGTTTATTACTACTGCCTGCAGTGCCTAGTGCCTACAAAAGAATAACTTTACGACCGCGCGTTAAATATTAATAAACTGCTAAGCACTAAATCATATTTTAAAATGTTCTGTGCAATAAAAAGACGACGGGTTTGCGCATGGTTTTCGTTTTCCCCTCCGAATCTCCGATAATTCTACTGATATCTATAACAGTGTAAGGTATTATATTTTATTTTACTATGCCCGAGAAGGAACCGACTACCCAAGACGTACCCGCCACCGAATCCTACGCCACACGATCTCGGGTTACACAGATTGTGCATTACACTGGTTGGGTGTTGTTCTTCGATGAGAAACATTCACATGCAAAATTAAAGAAAACAGTTTGTCGAATAACTGAATAAGCGAATATTATTATAACACGTGGAGAAATCGGGAAATCGTCAATCGACAAATGATTCCACGATGTATAGAATAATATATTAGAATGACTGATACTGTATTCTAATAGTGATTAATGATTATAATATAATACAATCCATACATTATTAATGGTTGGGCACATTAATAATAATATATAATGACTAAATATGTTTTATTTCCCCCCCGCCGTTTGTTCTTATATTATATAACAATAAAAATAATTCATATAGTTTATAATACTCATACTGAATGTACTCATCCGTGTAAACGTTTATTTTTATATTTTAGAAATCTTATCAGTCGACCTCCGGCAGCTATAGTACATGTGTTGTGCTGTGCACGTAAATAAAGGTATAACACGTTAACCTTAATAATATATTATACAAGTATATGGTCTAAATTCTAAAACGTCACTCTTAACAGTCAAAAGTGAACACTACCCAAACTATTAAGTATGATGACATGCGCTCAATGCTCAGTATACGTACAGGACCTATTCAATTCTGACCTAAAGTGTCGAAAAAATTCTTCCAAACCAAATTTCTATATAGACTTGATTCTTTTTTTAGTTCCTATATATTGATACAAATTATTGTGAATATTATACAATATTTAAAATAAACAGAATATTTTAAATTATAAACATAACTAAAAATTAAGGAACTCGTCGTCCTGCTGAATAGTATATTTCGAGTTTGCCTACCTCGTCATTGAATTTTGCTCCTAAACGTGACACATTTGTTTTTTAGAACACATAGGTATACAAAACCTATATATTCATCGATTCGAAAATTAAATCATGTAAAATCAAATGAATTATAGAAAGAAAGACTTATATCATAATAATTCATCTATTGTATTTTTATCAATCATTATAAGTTTATACATTTTGATGTACATAAGGTTAAAAAAAATCCCCCTTTTAATCAATACATACTATACTCGGGCATTTTACTATATATTTTTAATAATTTTAATCGAATTATTTACATTAATTCGTATATGGCATTCATGACATAAGCTTTGACACATTATGAGCATTCACTAATATAAGGCTACACGTACTTAGGAGTTTGTATAGTCGTATTGCCGCAGGCAATTTCATGATATTGAAATACTGGACGCAGCGCTGTCATATCAATGAATAGGTATAATGATTGAAAACACGGATTGAGATATTACCTATATCTTAATTCGCAATTTAAACGTATTACGTAATGAATAATGATATTATTTAATATAATCATCGCTGGTTGCCAACGTAGGTTAATAAAATACAACTAATAAACGCATTTATCCCCATAACGATGTGTAAGCCTTAGATAACATATTATAATATACCTATTGTATAATTATCGGTAGATTACCTGGTGGCTGGTAACCTAGCAGAGTAAAATAAAAGTGAAAGTTTCACGTTTTGAGGCGGTATCACAGCTACGACTATCATGTCAATAAATATTGGGCATGGTCGACTCTCGACATTTCCACGCGCGTAGATGATTATCATGATGAGTGAATGATATCAAGATTAAAACGGCCACTAAAAATTCAATATACTATAAAAGGCAAGTCAGATGAAGTTTCTGTGATACCACCTTTAATAGTAGTATCTATGACAAATTACGTATAATTGGTATCCCGGCGGATTAGTATGTACTCTGTACTATATAAAGGAGTACTGTATAGGCAATAAACTTATACGAGTGCATGTGTTGGAGTGTGATAACTGTAGATAATATTATATAAAAGTAAATAAACAATCTAGTGACCACAAGCAAGAACGTCATAACCTCATGACATATTTTAATTATGTGATAGACACATACACCATGGTACCATCACTCATCAGACATTAAGGGACAAGATTAACTATAGCAGGGATAGCAAAACATGGTAATCACAAAAACAAAAATAGACAATTCACAACACTAGTCATTAAAATGACATCAGGGACGTCTCATCCACCGTGTTGTATGTTTTATAAGTGAGTAAATTAGTAAATTTACATTCAGCAGTTTTGGTTCAGATGAGTTAATTTTAATTTTGCGTGAACTTGAATAGTTTTAATAACTTATAAATTATAGCAAATAAAATGCAACATTTTCTGTGATTGATTATAAAATGTGTAAAATATTTAAATATTAAAATCTAAAAATTCTCTTAGCTCGCTTCGTGATTAAAACATCAAAAAAACATTTCCAACAAAACCACTAAAAAAGTTGTTGTCTTCAATTTAACAATTGGTAAATTTAATTTAATATTTTAACTAACAAATGTACACTTGTAAGTCGTAGACAACACACACGAGTGAGAAATTTTCTTAATAGTAATTTTTTCAATGTAACTTTTTTTCCGGAATTCGTAGAAAATGAACCCATGAGCATGAGTCATATCATATTTGAATGATATAGAAAATACCATCAGACATTAGACGACGAGACACATTTTTTTCTTTAATTGCCATCGCATTAGGTTGGCTATAGCAATTAGCTAGTAGCAATACATTTGACGCCGTTTACATTCTATTCAAAATAGTCTGATTAAAATGGATTACCCCTAATACGCGATTAACAATTTCTAGTTTTTGGTATTTTATGTTTTAATAAAATCGGCAACATACCAAAAACACAATTATTGATAATTGTTTACACATTAAACGCATTCTTGAACAGATGGAAATAAAAATGTATAACATCGAACATATTAATAACCAAGGAATACAGGATGAAATATAGAAATACGGGTCGGTTTCACAAATTGAGTTGGATAAATGTGATATTAAATTCTAAAATGTGATCTATAAAATACAAGTACTTCTTAAAAAGAAAACTATGCATTCGTCGGGTTAGGGATATAATTATCATATTTTTACTTTAAGTGAATTACAATTATTATATTATTTATTAATGTATTAACTTGTAATATTCAGCTACATTTTACAGTTATAATCATGGATGTTTCTACAAGACAAATTAGATATACATTGAATTGATCACCGATTAATATAATTCTAGGAACACATTGCAAAATAATTGCATGGTAGTTGCGTAGTTTATATGAATTATTTGATAACATTTAGGAATCATTTGATTACACTGTATAGTAAACAGCAGTGGAGTGATAAACCTTTAATTAGAGATTAATAATTTTATAAAATAGATATTTTAAAATTCAAAATAAATAGCTTATATGCTTCAACTACTATTCATCGCCAAAGAGAGCCACTGTAGGACTTACTCCTTAGTCACCTAGTCCTCAAATACGTATTTCAAGAACTATTCTTCCGCAAGGAATTACTTTTTAAAGTTATTTTATTTGCAGCGAAGATTTTGTATTTTGAGTTATATTACACTTTTATTGTTTGAACTACTTAAAGTAATTGTACGCAGGTAAGTAACATCATCTGTTCAAAAAAAAATTAATTGTTTTATACTTAGTATTACATTTTTTTCGTTAAGTAGTAATATTAATTTTTATTTTTGTATAAGTACACCGAAGTAGAATATTGTTCTGAAAATGTTTTATTTATTACCCATTGAATTTATCGTCGTGGGCGCACCCGAACCGTGTTGGTAGAGGATAGAATAATTCAATAATGTACGAGATATACCTACATTTCTTCAATTACCCATTACGTATAATAACCGTCAGACGATCAGACCTTGATTTGTTCACAACAATTTCGAATTTTTTACGTCATTATTACGATGACAATACATAGATATTGTTTTTCTCATAATTGCCTACACATATTGAAATAGGTATGTATAGAATTATTTAGCACGGCGATTATTACGTATATTATCATGATATATTTGAAATAGTGCTTGAAATGTATAAGTATTTCATCTTTATCAAACAGACGATCAGAGAGGGGAGAAATAAAAGGTATTAAATACACAATAGTCAATATTAGAGTAGCCGGTTAGCCAGTCCAGACATATTCATGCGCGCATACAGATATCCGAAATACATTAAAATATAGGCATCGTTGTAGAAAAGGGCACGGTCGTTTGATCGGAAAAAAAGTCCATTAACACGGACGACGCTCGCCAATAACAATAACAATATAATATACAACCCGATCCGTAATAATATGTACAATACTATGGCCATGTAGGAAGCGTATACGGCGCACACCCCCTCATCAACTTGCCAGTAGTTTGTACAGAAACGTCCGGCGACTTACCTCAACGGCGTCCACAACAACGACATAATGCACCACCAAAACGAAATACCTGTCCGTTTTTTGTGTTCAATGATAATGGTATAACGAAATCGGTGGTCGGGCCGCAGCAGAGCATTAAAATACAAATGTCGATAAGATAGCGCAATAATAATATTGTTATACAGGACTGCGCGGCGGAACCGTAATGCATAGGACTACCATAGTAATAAAGTTTAGGAACTACATCGGCTGTAAGCTGTGACGTGGTTAAATTGCTGTTATCTCGCCGGTTCGGTCGGAATTTCAGGAAATGCGTAATGCACTGATTATAAAACGAACGAAACCGGCAGGTACAACTGATTTTTCCGAAATTCGGGTAAACCGGTAGAGATGCTCTACTGAAATATATGAAAAAAAAATGAAAAAACAAACGATTTAGTATATTATAATATATTGTATTGTTATTATTTCGCAGCACCACCGGCGCACTACAGCATCGTCGCGAAATAATAATAACAATAGATAGTAGGTACAATGTAGCGCGTTATTCGCATCACAAGACGACGACGGTAGATGACGAACTGTGCACACCGCGGCGGAGGAGACGTTTGGAACAAAATTAAAGCAATAAAAAGAAGAAGTAACGCGTCAGTGATTTATTATTATTTTTTTATTTTTTTATAATTTTTTTTTATTTTGCGACAACGGAGTAGGCGTTCACTACTCACAGCGGCGTCCGTATCCGAGTAGGCGAACGTCCTAAATAATATCTATATTGGCTATATTGATATATTAGACGTCGCGGTCGGTGCTAACTGTTAACTGGTACCTTATAATATATATTATATTAGCAAACGAACGGCCGTGATAGTAATAATAATAAATAGTAATAAAAAGTACCGCAGATACTTTAACTAAAAGACGTGATTTTTTGCGGTCAGTATATTACATAGGACATAGCACAATAGGAGCACGTGGTATTAGATTGAAAATAATCGTTTGAATTGCGTTTGATGTATGAAAAAAATCTAAAAAAAATACACACGCACATACACAAATACTTCTATATGATATTATACACACACATACAACAATAATATGGCATGCACGAGCGTATATACAATAATTGCAGTACAAATATCGCGTGTACTGCAATAATAATTGTTATGACGAATTTTCAAAAGTGAGACCTGTTGTGCTTGTGCACCGTGTGTCAATAGTACAACATTGACAGTGAGAGAAACTATGCTACAGTATAAGTTATACTGTATAACTATATGTAGTAGGTGTGATTATACCTATATAATACCTTTATAAACGACTGATACAGGTATTTTTACCTTCATATTGAAAAGCCACATAGTATAACCATTTTTGGAACTCTGTAGTAGCTAATAAAATGAGTTTAAGTTATATATTTTATTGAGCTACTTCAGGTACACTATGTATTAGAAAAATAATATCTTCTATTTTCGAAACAAAATATAGATTCATATTTATACAATAGGTGAGCTTGTCCACATTGAAACAGCCGAAAATTTTAGTCTTTAGAGATATAACTATATTACGATGTTTAACAATCAAACACATTAATTCCGATTTCTAGTGCCATACACTACAAATTATTGTTTCATATTTTCATTTTATAAATATTTGTGTTGATATGATTAGTTACGCATGGATAATACATATCATATATAAATAATATTTAAAAATGTAATTCAATATGCTGATTTTATTAATGGTTACTCGTGTTGCATAATAAAGTTCATATAAGTCAAATCTATCGGTGATCACATTATGTCGTACGCCTGACGCCAGTAGGGAATAGGTGGGTTAGGTAAATCAGATTTATGCATATTTTGAATAGATAGTCGTTCAGACTATATTATATTCAAATAGCATTATCAACGAGACAAAATATTTTGCTAATAATCCATTTACGCGCAGAAGATTATTAAAATGAAGAGTGATAAGGATAACATTGAACGTATACTTTATAACCATAGAATTTATAATTAATCAAATAATTATATAAATAATTGAAATTAATTATCATGATTCGCCAATTTTTTCTGTACAGTTATTTGATATGTGGGAATATAATGTATTAATAATAATCCAAATCTTTAGTATGAACATAATAAACCATTTAAAAGAAAAATTAATTCGAATTTTTATCATATGTAATATGGATAACTTATTTTAAAATGTATTAGGCATGTATAAATTTATGAAATATAAATCTTGTTGTTATACAAAAAAAATCAATTTTGTCAGGTAAACGACACTATGTAACACGCGTATTTTACCTGTTAATTATTGTTATTCGATTGAAAACCTGGGCTTAAAAGAAACACATTTATATTCTACAGAATCTACTGTATTATCCCAATCCGTCTGGGTCAAAATTAATCAAACATAAAACAAAGAACATATATAAATTAACGTTGATATATGGTGATGTTTAGATATTTTAATTAAATATTGTGTTTGAATCTCAAGTGCAAAAGTTCTAAATTGTCTAAGTTAAAATAAATTATTGAGAATTAATGTTGAAAAGTTCGCACAACTGCATAAGATTTCGAAAGTGATTATAAACACTGATATCAAAACTCACAATTATCTAGCCAAACTATCCTGTAAGTTGTAATTTTCTAGAAATAGTCACTGGTTTAAACGACCTGGTGGTACTTTTGGTACGAAGATATTTTAAGAAGACATTACACCGCATAATGTGTTGTCTCTGTCTTGACATATCAAATTTATGTTCAGTATAGAATCTATTTTTTGTCATTAATTTTAATACTATAGTGAATTACCATATTATTAAATTTGAGGTTAAGAATAGTATTTAGGAAATTTTTTTAAAGTCTACAATATCTACGATAATGACGGCCAAGATCATATTCTTACCTCTAACTTTGATAATATTCCAATTATTAATAATATTATTATAATAATACTGAAATTAAAATGGATATTTTTGAGCTCAAATTTGTCATGTTGTCTCTGCGTATATAAAACTTTAACAAAACATGGAGGTGGAGCCTCCTCTTAAGAAAAAAACATAATAATTAGTCATAGAATAATTCAAATCAGCAGGTCTAGGTAATGACGTATATACTATGTAGTGTTACTTATGTATACCCACTGTTGTAGTGGTAGTGTAGTTCGTCATTGAATGCGGGCTTATTCGTCATGAGTTTATGATATTATTACCAGAATTATACCTCAAATGCGCTATTGTACAGAACATATTATTATTGTAAACATTTTAAAAAAACAAGTTGTTGTATCTATTATATAAGCTAATTGCAGTTTATTAACCTAGTATACCTACAGAATACAGGATACAACAGTGAAAAAAGTACCTTAATTAAAATATATATAAGAATACAAAAAAAAACTAAAAAGAGTTAATTAATCATAAATTTCACGCACTAAATCAAAAACGTTAAAATATAGTGAATATGTTATTATCTTTAATACATATTATGTAAGGACAAGGAGTAAGGTGGACCAACTTCCTATACAGAATACAACTACATGCGTCCATTGACACGGCTGTACGCCGGATCTATAATATCCGTGACAAAAAAAATCTCGCCGGTATACCATACAAAAATCGTACACACAATAATATATAATATAATTCACATAATGTCCCGTGACTAAGCAGGTGAAAACTGTACCGCACATTTTCAACGAAAAACCTACCGGACCATAAAGAAATTCACAACGGGGCCCGCTATAGTTATATGTAGGACGTAGGTACTATATACGTACTATACGTCTATACCAAAAGGACGCGCGTCATAACATGTAAGACTCGATGTATATAGAACGATACGACATATTATATCCTGTTCATCAGACATATGGTGACACACAATGGCGACTAAAGGAAGTTTCTCTAAATAATATGCCAAGTTTGAATTTCTTCGGCTCTCTAAGTCCCTTTTTAAGCAGCGTCTCTCACACACACACGACAATGGCTTTTTCGTTTTCCCCGTACAGATTATAGGTACCTAAACAAATATGGGTGTGTAAATTATTTATAGGCATAGTAAATCAACCGGGAGGTACGATAAAAATCACAAAAGACCCTTTACTGTATGCAGTGCATAGATCTGCAGATGTTTTTTTGGTGAGCGGGAGTGCAGATCGACGTACGTTTTGTTTTCTACGAGTTAATTTTATATGGTAATAATATTAATTATTTTATTTTTTCATTATAAAGCATTTAAATGCGGTTAACTACGCGATTAGGATGTTTTTTTTTGAACCAGCAGCTGCAGCTGCCCTCTAAGCGACTAACGTCATGAGAACCACTGAAAATCTACCGAAAGACTGGTGGTTTTTTTTCATCCACACTCGCCGGGTACAGTGTTAATAATCCGCCGTGATATTTTGTTTCCGCTGGAACTTGCAGCACTGCACGACACGCACACACCATAGTTATATAATATTATATGATACACACTGCAGCTGGCGAAGTTAAAGTGACGCGACGCAGCAAGCCGACAATGCACACGACGCAGTGCGCCATTGATCGCGGTCGAGCCGGACCAGAGATTTATGAATGAAACGTGCACGATTTTTTACTCATGAACCGTGCACGCCGCATTCAGATATTTGTTTGATATTATGGACTATAGAGACGCTCATGTTTAATAATAGGCGAGAATGGGCGTTGAACTTTGGTGTATGTGAGCGGTTTAAATAATTAATTCATAACACTGCAGGTTAATAATATGGATTTTGGTAAAAAATAGTCACCAACAGGCTACTAATAATTAATGCCCTTGCGTATCAAACTTGATATTACACAGACCTAAAATAAAAACCAAATAGGTAGGTATAAGGAGCTAAATGTTTCTATAAAAGTACATCATCATCTTAATTAAATCTACTAATTCAAAACTTATCATTTTTATAAATTCCTGTTAATCCTCGTAGATATCTAAGGCGTAAATTATGATCTGTTACAATAATGATTAATAAACAGAAATTATAGAAAGTACCTATCATTAATGTGACTTCTTTCATACTTAACCGAGTTTTTTCATATCATACATTAAATAACTATAATTATCTTTATATTATGCTTATTGTATTAGTTTGATATTTTAGATACTGTAAGTATATTGTTTGTAAAAAAATGTGAAAAAAGTGTATTGTCTTTGCTTGCTAACGGAGTTTACTATTATGTATATTTGGAACTTATTTTATTACATTTATATAAGGTATACATAATTTTAAAATACGAAATTTTATGAATAGATTTAGACCAAAACCTCGACCAAAACGTAATGAAATATGTATTTATTATTTGTTAACTGTTACTATATGCAAAATTAAATGAACTAGTTTATCACAATAACTAGAAGTTAATCATATGACTTTTTAACCTTTAATATATAATAATATATCATGTAAAGAATATTTGCTAAGAAGCAAATTATTTCAATATTTAAAAGATAAGTTATAAGTAAGCTTCATGTAATGAAAATCATTATAATATTTGAAACAATAATAAGTAAAAAAAATAGCCATGTAAACCACATGACATGAAACATTTGTTTACCGTAGGA